AACTGTGCTGCATCTAATGTCAGTGGACATCAGTACCTCCGAGGTGATGCCAGAGAGTCTGAGGAAAGACCTCACAGAATTGCTTAGGGCAGCTTTAAAAATGAAAACTTGCCTGGAAAGGCAGCCTGACCCTTTTGCACCAAGACAAAAAAGAACACTTCAGGAGGTCCAGGAAGGGTTTGTGTTTTCCAAGTACCGGCACAGAGCCCTCCTTTTGCCCGAACTTCTGGAAGGAGTTCTGCAGATCCTCATCTGCTGTCTTCAAAGTGCAGCTTCTAATCCCTTCTACTTCAGTCAGGCCATGGATTTGGTTCAGGAGTTTATTCAGCACCGTGGCTTTAATTTGTTTGAAACAGCAGTGCTTCAAACGGAGTGGCTGGTTTTGAGACCTGGCGTTCCCCCAGAGGCCTCGGGACACTTGAAAGCCCTGATAAGCAGTGTGATGAAAATTATGAGCATAGTCAAAAAAGTGAAGTCGGAGCAGCTTCACCATTCGGTGTGCACACGGAAGAGGCACAGGCGCTGTGAGTACGCTCACCTTATGCATCACCACCGAGATCTCTCCGGCCTCCCGGTTTCGGCTTTTAAAAACCAGGTTTCCAAGAACCCATTTGAAGAGACAGCTGATGGAGCTGTCCGCTACCCTGAGCGGTGCTGCTGCATCGCGGTGTGCGCGCACCAGTGCCTGCGCCTGCTGCAGCAGGTTGCCCTGGGCAGCACGTGCGTCCAGATCCTGTCAGGGGTCCACAGTGTTGGGGTCTGCTGCTGTATGGACCCCAGGTCTGTCATCATCCCTCTGCTCCATGCTCTCAGGTCACCAGCGCTGAAAGACTCTCAGCAGCACGTACTGAGCACCCTGCAGTGGCTGGTTTTGGATCATTTAGGAGGGGCGGATGTACCGCCGAAAACCAAGACAGCCGTGTGCAACGTTTGCAGCATGGACTCCGACCAGCTGGCCATGTTAGAGGAGGCACTGCAGGGGGCCCCACGTGATGCAGAGCCCTCCTCACACTTGTCCGGCCCTTCCTGCAGGTTCCGAGGGATCCTGCCAAGCAGTGGGTCTGAAGACTTGCTGTGGAAGTGGGATGCCCTAGAGGCTTACCAGAACTTCGTTTTTGAGGAAGACCGATTACACAGTGCGCAGATGGCCAGTCATGTCTGCAGTTTGATCCAGAAAGGCAACGCGGTCGTTCAGTGGAAACTGTACCATTACGTGCTCAGCCCTGTGCTCCAGAGAGGGGTGGAGCTCGCGCAGCACCATCAGCACCTTGGCGCTCCCGCGGCTTGCGCCCCGCTGTGCGGCCTTCACAGCCAGTGTCACAGCCAGTGGCTGGCTCCGGGAGGGGTTCCGGGGGTCCG